CCCCTATGGCGTCGAGAATCTGCCATGCCTTCTGTCCCTCTGGTGTCGAGAATATATCATGCCTGCTGTGCCTTGGACGACCGTCACGGATAGCGGCCGCGGTGGGGGACCACCCCCTGCGCACCCCCATATGGTGTCGAGAATGTGCCATGCCTGCAGTGCCCTGGACGATCGTCACGGATAGCGGCCGCGGTGAGAGACCACCTCCTGCGCACCCCCATCATGGTGTCGAGAATATGTCATGCCTGTTGTGCCCTGGACGACCGTCACGGATAGCGGCCGCGGTGAGAGACCGCCCCCTGCGCACCCCCTCTGGTGTCGAGAATATGCCATGCCTGCTGTGCCTTGGACGACCGTCACGGATAGCAGCCGCGGTGAGAGACCCCCCCCTGCGCACCCCCTCTGGTGTCGAGAATATGCCATGGTTGCTGTGCCCTGGACGACCGTCACGGATAGCGGCCGCGGTGAGAAACCACCCCCTGCGCACCCCCTCTGGTATCGAGAAAGTGCCACGCCTGCCACGCTCTCCGACCCTGGCGCCCATAGAGGCCGCGCTGAGAGACCACCCCCTGCGCACCCCCTTCTGGTGTCGAGAAAGTACTCAGTATGGTGCGCATCCGTTTTGAATGTATGATGCAGTGAACGCGCCACGCGTGTCTCACTCGCGCGCCCTGCGGCTGTATGTTGAGAAAGTGCAACGCCTGTTCTTCGCCATGGCCCGCATAGAGCCTCCTGCCATGCACTGCGAATCCTAAACGCACGTCTGTGATGGGGGTACCTCATGTGGGTGCCCAGTATGTTGTGCATGCGTGTTGAATGTATGTTGCAGTGAACGCGCCACGCGTGTCTCACTCGTGTCTCATGTACGTGCCGTGGATGTGTTGCGCGTAGGTGAATGGAGGAAGCAAGCGGAGGAGGGGAGGAGGGAGGAGGGGAGGTGTGTGTGAGGAGACGCGGGTGCGACGCGGCAGGGAAGAAAACCAGAACCCCACGAAACATGTGGGGAATCAACAACCCAACGAGCATCAATGCCTTTGCTCCTTGAGACCCTCCTTGGGGATCCTCTTGGGGCCCTCTCGGGCCGTCTTGAGACCATCTTGGGTGTTCTTGAGGCCCCTCTGGCGTGCTGGAGCCCTTCTGGAGCCATGCCGGAGGGTATGTTATTGGGAATCGCATCCGCCACCGAGCATGGATGTGGAGGCTCCGAGGGCCCCGCAGGGTGCGCTGACGAACTCGTGCCCCTGGCTCCCCCCCCCCCCCTCTCGGATAGTGTTATTGACCCCCCGCGAGGGGGGGCAAAGGGGCAGGGGTTCAGCCAGATGTCTCGCACGCCTTTCTCGCCTGGCAGGCGAGGGTGTTGGCGAACGAGGAAGAGAGATTTGGGGGGCCCCGCCGGGTGTAGCCGGAACTTATACATTCTCCTGCTTCCTCCTCCTCCTCCTGCTCCTCCTCCTCCTACCCTACCCTACCCCTCGTCCAAGCGATGTGGGTTTCGCGAGCGCACCCAGGGGAAAACAAGAGACAGTGGTCAATTGTTGTCGCTTCGCGAATCCCCACCAGCCCATCCAGAAACGATGCCCAGAGGAATTGCCTCGATCAGAGGAGTGGGCAGCACACAGAGGAAGCCATTATGATACATCTTGGGATATCTTGAGCCATCTTGGAGGTCATTTTGGGCTCTCCCAGACGCTCTTGGAGTCATCTTAATCCGTGCCCCCCCCCAAGAGGCCTCCATGTGGCTAAAACCTGTGTAGAATCAATGATTAGGCATTCTCGCCGAGGCCTCTTGGAGCATCTTGGGTGCATCTGGGGGGGCTCTTGGGGCCTCTTGGGGGTCTCTTGGGGGCCTCCGGGGGGCCTCTTGGGGGCCTCTTGGGGCCATTTTGGGGCCATCTTGGGACCTCTTGGGGCTTCCTGGGCGCTTCTTGGGGCCATCTTGGAGGGAGTCGATCAAACAAGAGGGGGGGGTGAATTAGCGTCCCCCCTCGGAAGCCCCTAAAATCGCCTCTTGGACCCCTCTTGGAACGCTCTTGGAGTGCTCTTGGGCGCTCTTGGGGCCGTCTTGGGGCTCTTTTGGGGCTCTCTTGGGGCCCTCTTGGGCCATCTTGGAGCCATCTCCAGGCCTCGGATGGCCATCGGAAGCGAAAAGGCGAGAAAGCAAAAATCATTGATTTTCCTTAGGTTTTGGGACGATTTTGGCCTCTTCGGGGCCTCCTTGGGGAGCTGTTTGGCCACTTGGAGTTATCTTGGGGCCGTCTTTGGGCTTCTTGGAACCATCTTAGGAGCCATCGTGAGCGATCTTGCGCTATCTTGAGCCATCTTGGAGCTCATCTTGGGTTCTCTGAGGCGCTCTTGGAGCCGTCTTGGGCCATCTGGGACGCTCTAACTACCCGCGGCCCCCCCCGTCCAGGTCCAGGGGAGGGGGTAGGGGGAGGGGTAAACCCCTCCCCAAGGGGGAAGAGGGAGGGGTGGAAGAGGATCTGCTCTAGACCACCTACGCCCAGAGGGCTGGTGGGACTTGCGCCTTCAAGAGACGAGCCTGGGCCAAGTACAAGTGACAAGAAGTGCCTGGGTTGGGCTCAGTGGTACCAGTTGTGAGCGGGCTCCGCCCAGGAGGGAGATCGCCCCAGCAGAGCACCTTGACAATGAGCGCCACTCCCACGATGGGAGCCGTCCGGCTGGGTTTGAGTTCTGATTCGGGCACGAGTTTGGGCTCGGACTCGAATCCAGATTCGAACTCGTATGTGAGTTAGGATTCAGATTCGGGTGAGAATCCAGACTCGGGCGGAAAAGAAAAGCACAAGCAGAAGTGGGAGACAAGGAATCAGCTTGACTCGGACTGGCGTTTGGACTGCACTTGGAGCCGAATGCGGACTCGGATTCGGGCTGGGACACTTTAAGATCTGGCCCTCCGATCCCTCGCGCGGGCCCTCGAGAGAGAAATGGGCTACCCGGTGGCCCCCACGAATCCTTTGGGAGGGAGCACGGGGCAGGAGGGCGGCGGAGGCGGAGGAAGAGGGGGGGGAGGCCCCCGGAGCCGTCCGCACGCCCCAGGGGCTCCCCCGAGGAGCCAGCACGGCCAGCAAAGATCGATCCTCGATCTTCCACTGGGCTCAGGAGGGGAAAAAGCCCAGAGACACAATGAATCGTCGATCCCCGAGAAAATATGGGAAAACATGGGAATTGGGCGTGAAGACCAAAACCCAGAAAATGTGGGAAAATATGGGGAATCATTTTATTTTTGCGTATTTATTTGTGTGTCCTTGGGCCCCTTGATGGGTCGAGGATCGAGAGTCGAGATTCCCAGGCGTCTTGAGGCCCTGGCCGATCGGGGGGCGATATGAATCGGGGGGCAGCGAGGGCTGCAGAAAAAGGGGCCCTTCGGGGCTCCTAACGGGGCCCTTTTGGAGCCCCGAAGGTCACCAGCCTCGAACTTATCCCTATCCCTAAGATTAACACGCCAAAAGGCGATGACAATCTTCGGGATTCGCCCTGAAAAACTAAGGGAATCCCTAAGATTGGCATCGTGATGAGGAGATGCCCAGCATAGGGATAGGGATATGCTCCAGGCTGGTAAGAAGGGGGCCTGTAGGGCGCGAACAGGGCACCTCTCTTCCACCACACGTGTCGTCACCCCACGAAGTCGCGCCCAGGCCGAGGATCGAAGGCAGGGTCGAGGATCGTGGATCGAGGGCCCCAGTCGACCCTCGATCCCAGAATCTCGGGCTGGGGGAGCGTGGCCGGCGCTGCGGCGGAAGGTCGTTCCCGAGCCAGGGGGCGTGGCCAAGCGCCGAGGAGGGGGCACCACGTTCCAGCGCCAGGCCTCCCTCCTCCTCCTCCTCCTCCTCCTCCTCCTCCTCCTCCTCCTCCTCCTCCTCCTCCTCCTCCTCCTCCTCCCTCCCCTTCCTCCTCCCTCCTCCCTCCTCCTCCTCCTTCTCCTCCTCCTCCTTCTCCTCCTCCATGCCTTTCCCTTATAAATAATTGTTCCCTGTCGCACCCCGAGGCCAGTTTTTAGGGCGGGCTGAGCGTTTCGCCTAAGACTTCCTTACCATTTATGACTCTGAAGCTTAAAAGTGGCAACAGCTTCACAGATGGAGGGCGGGTGGTTCTCAAAATGTGTTTCTCGCCTCAGCGCTGCGCACATTTGTTTTTTGAAATTGCAAGAGCTTCACGGATTGTGGGCGGGTCGTTTTCAAAATGTGGCTCTCGCCTAAGCGCCGCGCACATGTGTTTAAACAATTGCAAGAGCTTCACGGATTGAGGGCGGGCCGTTTTCGAAATGTGGTTCTCGCATTAGCGCCGCACACAATCGTTCTGAAAAGTTGCAAGAGTTTTACGGGTTGATGGCGGTTCCTTTTCAAAATGTGGTTCTCGCCTTAGCGCCGCGCGCATTCGTTTGCAGGAGCTTCGCGGATTAAGGGCGGTTCCTTTTCAAAATGTGGGTGGTTCTCGCCTTAGCGCCGCGCACATTCGTCAATGAACATTGAAAGGAATTCACGGATTCCCATGATCACCGTAGCAGAAAAGGTGTTTTGGAAGGGTTCAGGATTACGCGGGTGCAACAGTCATGTTCGATCGCGGTTTTGAAGTCCCGAAGATAGCGTTCTTGCAATATTCCAGATCGTCAAAGACGCAGCAGTCAGGTTGATTCGAGGCGCTGAAATCCCGAGAACAATACTTTGGTATGCTTCAGGGTCTTCAAGGGTGTTTTCCAATGAGGCAATTCCCTCAATGGAAATGAACCGCTGTAGGGGCTTATGAAGAGGGAGTTTGGAGGGAGGGTTGATTCCAACATCGTTGATGACTCTTTGGTTTACACTGCTCCTCCTCTTCCTCCCCCTCCTCCTCCTCTTCCTCCTCCTCCTCCTCCTCCTCCTCCTCCTCCTCGTGGTCCACCTCATCACTCCAGACTTCAGCCCCGCGTCCCCTTCACTTCCTCCCTCTTCCCTGCCCGGCTGCCGCCTGGCTGCCCCGGCCTCCCAACGCGGTGCCGGAGCGAGGTGGACTGCGCTGGCACGGAGAGGCGGAAGGCCCGGCCGAAGTGGAAGGGGAAGGGGGAGGAGGAGGAGGAGGAGGAGGAGGAGGAGGAGGAGGAGGAGGAGGAGGAGGGAAGGAGAGGGTGAGGGGAAGGGGGAGGGAGGTGGGGGGGGGAGGGGAGAGGGGAAAGCCCGGCCGAAATGGAGGGGAGAGGTGAGAGGGGCAAGCTACGTACGTTCGCGCCTCATCTGACATCCTATCCCTCCTTCCCATCCTTTCCCATGGCGTTGATTTTTCTGTATCCACGGATGTGTGTCATAGCCGACCTGCGGCTCACACAGAAAACCATTTATTCTTGTTATGCGAAATTGTGCAAAGGGGGAGCTGCGTGCACAGGAGGAGGAGGTGGCGATTGAGCAGGAGGATAAGCGGGAGGAAAAGGATGAGGACGAACAGCAGCAGCAGCAGCAGCAGCAGCAGGAACCCAAGCAGAAGGATCGGGAGGGAAAGGAGGACCCGGGGAAGGCGGAGGAGGGAAGATGAGGGGGGCGACAACGATGAAGAAAGACTCGGATTCTGAAAAGGGGGCCCACGCTTGGGCGAGACGAACAGCAGCAGCAGCAGCAGCAGCAGCAGCAGCAGGAACTGCAGTGGAAGGAGCAGCAGGAACAGGAGGACCAGGGGAAAGCGGTGGAGGGGACATGATGCGAAGCAAGACTCGGATCCAGAAAAGAGGACCGCGCTGGGACGAGAGCGCCGTTCTGAACGACGGGAGCAACGCGCCGATCCGATAATGACGCCCGCGCTGCAGCGGGAGCACCATTCTGAAGCACCGAAGACAAGTGGACTGTATTACAAAATCATAAGAGAACAATGTTTGAAACCTTGTGGGTCAAAAAACAACACGCGGAGTGGCGGGAGATCTTCTGGACAACTTCAGGGGAAGAGGGGGAGTAGTAGTCAGATTGCTTCGTTTTACAATGGAGATGAGGGGAGAGGAGGGGAGGGGAAAGGGGAGGGGAGAGGCAAGAGGGGAGGGGAGGGGAAGGGAGGGGCAAGGGAGAGAAGGGGGAGGGCAAGCTTGGTGTGCTCGCACCGTATCTGACATCCGACCCCTCCCACCCACCTCTTCCCGTCGCGCTGACTTGTTCTCCACTCGCCGACGGGTATTATGATAGCGGACCTGGAGCCCTCAGGAGGAGCCCCCATCGTGTTGTGCGCAGTCAGAGAGAGGGAGAGATGTGCACGTTGGAGGAGAAGGGTGAGCAAGAAGGCGAGGCGGCCAAATCCAGGCGCGCAAGCAGCACCTAACGCACTGCGCTCAGCGATCGAGGGGACGTCGATGAGCCCGCACCAAAGGTCATTCCGGCGAAGGGTCACTCTTACATGTAGTCGATCGGGGCGAGGGTGGGGGGACAAAGTTTCGGGAGGTTTTCCGAAGCTGTCGGAGGCTCTCGGGACCCGAGGTGGTCGATATCAGTTGCGCCTCGCTGAGAGCATTCTGGGGGTGGAAGGGCGGGTGAGGAAGGTGGAGGGCCAGGAGCAGCAGCAGGAGTGCCTGGTGGAAGGCGGAGGACGAGGGCCTGGCCGAGCGGGAGTGGAGGGGCGAGAGGCGGAGAGGGCGAGTGAAGGAGGGGGAGGGCAAGCTAGGCGTGCTTGTGCCATGTAGTATCTGACATCTGACCCCCTCCTCCTCCTCCCCTCCTCCTCCTCCTCCTCCTCCTCCTCCTCCTCCTCCTCCTCCCACCCACTCCTCCACCCTCCCACCCACTCCTTCCCACTGCTGGTGCTTCTCTATCCGCCGACGCGCGTCATAGCGGACCTGGACCTCCACAGGGGACCCTTGTCGTGTTATGCGCAGTCGGACAAATGGAGCTGCGTTCATTGGAGGAGGAGGTGGCGGATGAGCAGAAGGATGAGCAGGAGGAAGAGGAGGAGGATGAGAAGGAGCTGGACGAGGACGATCAGTAGCAGCAGGAGTTGGCGAGGAAGGAGCGGAAGTAGCAGGAGGACTAAGGGAAGGTGGAAGAGAGGAAATGAGGGGGGCGACAACGATGAAGAAAGGATTCGGATCCAGAAAATGTGCCCTTGGCCCGCGCTGGGGTGGGAGCGTCAGACTAAACGACGGGAGCAAAGCACCGGTCCGAAAATGAGGCCCACGCCGCAGCGGGAACACCATTTTGAAACACCACAGACAATCGGGCCGTAAGAAAAAACATAAGAGTATAACAAAGCTTTTGAACTCGTTTGTGAAAAACAATACACAAACAGGAACAAATATCTTCTGGACTGAGTCAGGGGAGAGAAGAGATTGTTCAGAATTTGTGGGTGGGGAGGGGGAATGAGGGAGGGAGGTGGGAAGGCATTGGAATGTCATGGCTGTCGATTTGACAAACTGCGCTGTGGACAAGCGACCGCCGTGGTTCCAAATGTGCTCGCCCAGGGTCGACGCCAATGCTGAAGCTCCAATTATCCACGCTGATGGCGGCACTCGGGCAGGCCAGGCGTCAGCAGCACTGGTGGCAGACGAGGTGTCCATCATGGACGGCTCCAGGATCAGCAGGTCGTTGGTGATAGGCGGTGCTCATCGTGACTCTCATGCTTCATCCTTCCCAGTGGAGGCGACGGCTCTTGACGAAGTGGCCTGGGCCGTTCTGGTTTAGAAACATCGAGCAAGCGGCCGTCACATGAGCAGCCCAAGTTCAGGAAGAGGGCACCGGAGGGGAGGGCGGGAGGGTCCCAGAGGAGGGCCAAGGCAGCGGGGTGGGTTGGGCTAACCCCGGCCGCTCAACCCCTATTCCCCTACTCTTCCGGGAAGCTGGAAAGGGACTCGATCCGAGCGGGCTGGGCCAGGCAAAAAGCATAGTGGGCTGGGCCAGCCCTCCACCCCAACCTTTTGCCTGGAACCCTCAGGGACGGGAGCGGGTCCTCCTGCCCCTCCTCCTCCTCCTCCTCCTCCTCCTCCTCCTCCTCCTTCTCCTCCTCCTCCTCCTCCTCTCTCCTCCTCCTCCTCCTCCTCCTCCTCCTCCTCCTCCTCCTCCTCCTCCAGGTCGCGTTCGGTGCCTCCACGCGGCGCTTGGGGGGGGGGGGGGGCTCCGACCACTGCCGCGGCGATGTCTTTGCAGCAGCTGCCAAATGGGAAGACCGAACGAATTCGTTCAGTGTGGTTTTCAAGTGTTTTGGGTTTGGCGTGGGGGTGGGTTTCTTGCTCTCGGGGATACCCTAAAGGTCTGAAGCGCATGCCTGCACGCTCCTTCATCCCTCGGCTCCACAACAAGTCTACCAGACTCAGCCACCAGATGGCACTGGTGTCTGCGGGTCGGGACCACCCGTGAGCAATGGTTGCGGGTTGCTCCCACCGTGCCGTTCGAATTGCCGGGCCTTCATGTTTTCAGCCGCTTCTTGTTCACGGGTGGAAGTGTTCATCAAATTGTTGCACGTTCTTGAGATTTATATCCTTGCCTGCGGGCAAGTGCCGACGAGCATGAGGTGCGTCCAAGAAGGTACGGGCATTATTGTGAGTGTAATGCCAACACTGCTTCCGAGTGATGGGACCTTGATTCTTCACCAGGTATGTTGCGTAGAGGTGGCTTCCAGGAGTTCGCTGTGACACTAGCAATGTATTCGGGCTCCGGCAATGAGTTGTCATATTCGCTCTATTCTAAGAGTGTGCGTTTGTCAACCGTGGTAATGTTACTTGTCGGAGTTCATGTTGCTGTGCGTGCATGAGCTCTCTGCTGTCGTCTCGTTGCTCCTCGAGCTCTCGCTGCTCCGCGCGGGTTGTAGTATACCGAGAGTTCCTCTGGACTCCAGCTTCCAGGACGTTCCCTCATCCTCCTTCACTCCCTCCCTCCCTCCATTTCCTCTCCTCGCCCCGTGGAACGGAACCGTCTGGCGCTTGTCTCACCCTTGACGATCCACTGCCATTGCTGGTTGTTTGGACGGTTGTGGCCACGCGAAAGCAAATTTTGTTCACGCTGTCAGTTTGGTATCTCGGCCTATACTTTACTGTGGTCTTCCTCTCCCCCCTCTGTTTTCCGTCTCCCTGTTCCACCTCTTAATGGAACACAGTCTAGTTGCTTATTATTTGACCTATACATTGGCAAAACATTCTCGATGGCAAATGGTTGGCCGCATTGTGCGGAAACGAAACCGAATACAGGCCTTGCGCATTTGCATCGACCTGCTTAAAAGTTTAAATTGAAAGGGCAAGTCTGGATGATTTAGCGTGGTCATGCAATGTGTTACGCTGTCCGGCACTTCGTATTAACAATTTGTCGTCGCCTTTTGCTGACATCTCATGACTCTTTCGTCTGAGGTGCATTGGCGTGTGTTCTCAGATCGGCCCGCGGAAAACTTGCGGTGCCCAGCTTCCTCCTTGGACGATGGGGCGCCCATGTGGTCCGCCGAGCTCTCTAAGCCATCCGCTTCCACACAGTCAGCGTCAGAAATACGAGACCGCGTGCGCAGCTGACACCCCCGCCCTTCGAACAGTCCGAAATTTAGTGCTCAGGGGCGCATCCACATCCTCAAGACGGGAAGAGTAGGACTACAGGCTGCCCGGATTAGTAGGTCGACCTTGCCAGATCAAGGGTACCCTTGCGTCCTGTGTCTCGCGACCCGGGCTTCTTGCATTCCTATGGCAATGTGGCCCTCGGAAGGGTCTTTTGTCCTCTCGCGTATCCTGTCCAATGAAGTCCGACTGTATAGTCAAATGACACACGCGCGTCCTCTTTCCAACAACTCGTGGTAACCAGCCGCATGTTTCCCAAGTCAGGTTTTACCGCAGTGGCTCCTGCATGCTTACAAAAACCGGTGGGTGCAGGGTCCTTCGTGGGGATTGCCCGGGTGAGTTCGAAGTTTGGCGCGGGTTCGCCGAGGGTAGTCACGCAATGCCGAGCAGTACCAAGCATCGCCCAGCAATGCCAAGCAATTCGGTGCAATGAAAAGCAACGCAACGCCGCGCAACGCCAAGTAACGCCAAACAATGCACACCAATGCCAAGCAACGCCAAGCAATCAAAGCAACGCCAAAAAATGCCAAGCAAAGCCAAACAATGCAAGGCAATACCAAGCAATACATACTTATCAATGCCGGGCAACGGTTTGCATTGCATTGCGTTGCATTGTTCAATGTTTTACTTGCTTCATAAGAAAGAAGATCCTTGAATGTGATCGTGCTAGCCTTATGCACAAAGTCCTGACAGATCTTCAATAGTACGGGTAACGTTGATGGCATCCACCGACTGTCGTGACATTGTCATTGTTTCGCTCCCCGATCAGACGCAGGGAGCTCCAGAAAGAAAGGACGTCGCCATTGAGGGGGCCGCTGAGCGCGAGGCTGACCCCTCGCCCGAGGCCAGCGGCACGGGCGGCAGAAGAAATCGGAGGCAGAACAGAGGCAGCTCTGGCGGCGAAAGCCTGCGAAAGCCGGCGGGGGTCATGAATGCCCCCAGGGGACCGCTCTGCGGAGGGGGGCTCGCGTGGTCGAGCGGGCCATGCTGGCTTCGGCAGGAGAAGGGAGAGGAAGGCCTCAGACTTTCTCGTGGTAGAGGTTTGTGTCCCTCGCACGGGGGGGTCGACCGTCTCTGCCCGCAGGACAATCCAGGCCACCGGGCCTGCTCGGATCTTTCTCAGCGACACGCCTTGCGCCCGGTTTCACTTCCTGACAGCCCGCACAGCCACAACTGCTCGGAGCCCTTGTTCGCCCCCACCCCTCCCCTACCCTCCTCCTCCTGCTCCTCCTCCTCCTCTTCCTCCTCCTCCTCTTCTTCATCCTCCTCTACACACCCTCGAGCCCCTTTGGCTCAAGCACGTGCTTGTCCTCGGGACTTGCTTAGCGCGCCTGCGCCCGCGGCGGCTTCGACGGAGCGGGCCCGCGCTCGTTGCACGGCTCGTATGGTTTCAACAACAAGTGGTTGATGGCTCCCTGGTGCGCATCGCGATGAGCTCTCGGGCATTGCTTGGGCGGACGAAGATCAAGCTTACCCTGGATAGTATGACGACGCTGTTTTCACCTGCTTCGCAGATTCATGTGCTAGCGATGCTGGACTCCATAGCCTTGCTGGTTGCGAGCTGTCGTACGGTGGATCGGGGACATCGCCACACTGATGGGCGGCAGGATTTCTCCATCTGGATGTCCGCGCGTGCCTCCTCATCCTGACGGTGGCATGGGTCACGATGACGATGCTTCTCATGATGGTGGTGATGACGCGTGGCGACCTCGTCCCCGTGACGGTCATGATCACGACAGTTCTGATCCCTGGCATGGTCCTGGTGGGGACCCATGGTCGTCCTTTCTACTTATACCACCTCGTAAGGTACAACGGCGGCAACATGGTCATCGTCGTCCTGCGTGTGGTGCCTTTCATACGCTTCCCCCTCATCCTGCGCCTGCTGGTGAAGCTGCCAACTACTCAGGGGAAGGCTGATCCGGAAGTGGCGGCGTTCCCTGGCATCCCCAAATTGTTTGTCAACACGCTAGCCTCGACGTTCGTTCCAACCTGTGTTGGGGAGTGGCTTCAAGAGAAAACATAGAGCGTCTCTTCCTGATGGCGGGCATCTTCCAGACACACCTGGCGGCGATCAGGTTCGCTGTCCTGTGGAGCCTGGTGGCGTTGACGTGGCGGTCTCGTTGAAGGAACATCTCGCGCCCGTGCAGACCCGGCTTGAGTCCCCCGAAAGCAAGGTCGAGTGCGAGTTCGGCGATCGACCTGGAGTCCTCGGAGGGGCTTCGTGTTGTGGCGATGTGGATCCTCCTCGGTTGGAGCGGAAGGTGATCTTCAAGCACAAAGGTTCGGACCACGCAGACGATGATGATGAGTTGGCGATCTCTCTCTGTGGGCTGTCTGGCAGGTCATTGTGGCCCCTGGAGCTTTCGTGGTGAGGTATGTGGCGGTCTTGGAGGAGGCCTACATTGGACGTGCCTGTAAAGTAATGGCCACGTCTGGTGATACGCCATACTTGGATATTTACACCGATGGCGAGCTGGCTACAGTCGACGCGCGGCTAGTGAAAGAGGTAATCGATCCCTCGAGCACGCGGCAGTGGCAGGGCATGCTGGACAAGCACATGGCGCAAGTTCATCTATGAGGCGGCGTTCTACCAGGTCGTCGTTCCCACTGTGTGCAACAATGAGAAGAGTGTATCACATGGGGTCTCTTACTTCTATGGCACGGCCGCCCTGAGCATGATGTACGGCAGGTTCTGCTTCGTAGGTGGCAAATTGCATTTCGCAGAGGCTAACCACTTGCAGGCCCTCATACAATGTTCTGGCCGTTCTTCGGCTTCAGCGTGAGGTCACGCGTCCCAGACCGGCGGTTCTCCTCCGCCGCCCTGCACAGGTTGTTCGGCGCGTTCGTCTTCACATGTGGCATGGTGCTCTCCGCAGTGGCTAACCACTTGCAGGCCTTCAGACGAAGGTCTGGTCGTCCATCGGTTGCCGCATGGGGTACGGCTTCCAGTACCTGTTGTTCTCCCCCTTTCCCTCGCAGTTCTACGGCACGGCGGGGCTGGCCCACCTTATACGGGCCACCTGTCGCCTTTTCTGGAGAGGCGCCTCCAAAGAGACAAAGAAGAACAAACAACACACAAAAGCGAAGAAAACGCCTCCTCCCCACACCCTCGCTCTCCCCAGCCTGCGTTGTTTGGTTCTCCTCCTTCGGTCCATCCTTCTCCTCGCTCCCACATGGCTATCCGCGCGTGTTGCCGAGGACTCCATGTACCACTCGAAGGAGCGCCAGCAGGAGGGGGCGGAGATCAACGCATCTTTGCACGCGCTCAAGGAGTGCATACGGTGAGCTTGGTTGTTCTTTCTGCTTGGAGGTTACGGGGTGCTTGCAGAAGGCGTGCGTTTGGCAACTTAGCGCAGGGCCCGATGAGTCAGAGAGAGAGAGAGAGGCTGACAATCAGAGGGGCTGGCAGTGCAGCAGAAGAATGCGATTGCACGAGAGGGGGGAGCGAGAGTGAGCGAAAACAGACATGGATGCCCAGAGTTGGAGAGAGAGGGAAGGAACGGGGAGGAAAAAAGGAAGGAGAGCGAGGATTACAAAAAGAGGACAGGAGCAGAATAAGCAGGGGGCACGATCACAAAACAAAAAAATCAAGCACTACAAACAAAAAAGGAATGAGTGAGCGAGTTAGAGAGAGAGAGAGAGAGACACACACACACACACACACACACATACAGGTGCCCTTGTCAAGGCGATCCCACGCATACTCCTGCACGCACTGCAAGACCTGGAGCGCAAAGGCAGAGCCGGCACGGCCTCGCGCCAGACCTGCGGGCCTGGGCGGTTCGGCGGCCGCCAGGTCCTTCGCGTCCCACCAGCGGGTTCCCTCGCACATGTACCGCGCCTCCTCCCTGACCAAGATCCTCGCCGACGCCTTCATCCGAGGAGGGGCGGCATCCGCATGGGCCGCCTGGGGCGGTGGGCAGGCAGGGCGGGAGGGGAGGTGGGCAGGAGGAGGAAGGGATCGGCCTGGAGGAGAGGGGTCCAGCAGGAGAGGCATCCTGAATTGCTTCGCTGGAGAGAGAGAGAGAGAGAGAGAGAGAGAGAGAGCTGCGTGTCTTTCGAGCCGAAGTCGAGTCCCAAGAAGAGCTGGGAGAGCGGCGTGTGTGTTGGAACAGTCGTGAGTTCGACGTCAAGAGACACCGATTTTTTGGAGTCGACCCAGACGCTCAAAGACACGCAGTTCTCTGAGGCCGCCCCGGTTAGTCTCCAGGGTCCCTCCTAGACCACGGGGCCATCGAAAGCGGCTCAGGATGAAAGAAGGCTAGCCCCAGAGATGGCCACGGGGTCCGCGACCAGTTTCCCACCAGGACGCACCTTTGTTCATGGCAAAGGAGGGGTGGGGTGGGGGACGATGCTGGTTTGCTGGATGATCCAGCTGCCTGCGGCAGACCCCGCCACCGTGCCTGTGCATCGGCGCTGCAGGAAAGAGACGTGGTGTAGGAACAGCGCAATTCCGACGAGTGGTCTGATAAGGACAGGTCGTGAACGCGACCTCGTCTTCGTTCGCGCGGTAGGAAGGAGGTCGAGTTTACACCCCGCGGCAGTTCAGCGAGTGGTCTGTTTTGGGGACGGTCGTGATTCCGACATCGTTTTCGCCCGCGCGGTAGGAGGAGGAGGAGGAAGAAGAGGAGGAGGAGGTGGCGGAGGAGGAGGAGGAGGACGAGGAGGAGGAGGTGGCGGAGGAGGAGGAGGAGGACGAGGAGGAGAGGGAGAAAATGAGGACTATGAGGAGAACGCTTTTGGGTGCCCTCTCGAGGCCTCCTGGGGGCTTCCTGGGAGCCGCTTGGGGGGCCTCTTGGAGGCCCCTTGGGATCATCCTAGGGCTTCTGTGGAGGCCTCTTGGGGCATTTGGGGCCGTCTTAGGGGCGGGATTGGTTCGCCGAACGCCTTCGGAGGCTCTCTTGGGGGCCTCTCTAGGCCGTTTTGGTGCCCTCCTGGAGCGCTTCAGAGCGGTCTTGGAGCCCTCTTAGTCGCCAGATCTCAGAGATCCCCGACTTAGCCCAGGGCGGTGTTGTCCTGGTCCTGGCCTCGTATTATCGCATTCCTGCCCCTCGCTGGCGATGTGGAGGGGCTCTCTCCTCGTGCTCGTCGTCCTCCTCCTCCCTCCTCTCGTTTTTGGGAGGGCCGCCAATGAGGGAAGGACTCGATCCTCCCTCCTCGTCCTCCTCCTCCCTCCTTCGCCGGGGAGGGCCGCCAGTGCCTGCACATCCTCCTCCCTTCTCAGGTTGTTCGGGCCAAACGAAAGGGGAGGATAGGGATAGGGGGGCTACGAAGTCTGCTGCATGCAGCTGGGTTCGGCCCCGCCGCCAGGCCCATTCCTCGATGCCTGGGCGCCAGGAGGCGCCAGGAAAGCCAGCTACGCGAGCTGCTTCTCTACCCTGCCCTCTGCTACCCTACTCTGCGTTTCTTGACAAGCGTGGGGGCGAGGGCACCCCCCGACGGGGGTCGACCTCGCCTCGTCGTCGCGCCGCGACGGGGGTCGCAGCGCCCTCGGCGCACGGTGGCTGCCC